GGGAAGGCGATGCAGGACCCAATCCAGAGGCCACTGAAGCTGGGGATGTCTTTGTGCTGACTTTAATGGGCTCTGGAGCAAGCCCCTCGTCAGCAGGTATTTGGGGTGAGGGATGAAAGAGGGGAAACCCTGCTAACTTGTTGGGCCTGTTCCCCACCTCTATAGACTGGCCCCTGTCTTCTTTGGAGGGAAAGAGGACAATTCTGCTCAAGCAAACTCTCCAGTTGTATAGGCACTAACTAGAGCAGTCACTGTCTTTATATGAGTGTGAGTGCGTGCATGTCTGAGTGAGTGTGCATATGTGTGTGTGAGTATGCACAGGGCAAGTGAGTGTTTGTGTACAGCTGCATGTTGGAAGGTGGGTGTGTGCCTGTGTGTGAGGGTGGCCCGCACCTGTTTGTGTCTGTGAGCATGTGTATGTGTGCATGGCTGTGTATCTCTGGGTGTGCACATGGGTCTCTGAGTGTGGCACACACAAGTGTGTGTGTGTGAGAGAGAGAGAGAGAGAGAAAGTTAGTGTACGTGTGTGTGCATGGGATGCATTGGTGCAGCTCAGTGGAGGTCCACGCAGTGACACTTCCATCCCCTTTCTGCTGAGCTCAAAGGCCTGCTGAAGGGAGCAGTGGTCCCCAGAGGACACAGCCGTTACTCACCCTGCTATTCATGGCATTCACCCTGCACATGGCATCAAAGCAAACAGCCACTACCTCAGCACAGAGCCCCCAGCAGGTGTGCACAGGGACAGTGGGGGTGCCTGCGGCCCCAGCCCACTAAGAGACTCAGGCAGAAAGAGAACAACTGTCCCCGCCACTCACACACAGGACAAAAGTGAGATGACTCCGCTCCAATTGTAATTTAATATTATGGAAGGTACTTTTCCGAAGCTGAACGGCTGCAGCTGACTTCTCTCAGCCTGAGGCTTAGCTATAAAGCATCACCTTCCTGCTGTAGCAGACCAGGGAGGCTGCCTGCACAACCCTGGTTGGACCTGTCACGCAGGCAAGTCCCTCCATGGCTTGCCCCCATCACGATGCCCAGTTTACTCAAAGATGCCGAGGTCCTGAAGCTCTCACCTCTGTCCAGTCCAGGACAGGAGGTAATATATTTTTCAGCTGCTGGAGCAGAGTGCAGTAACGGTGGGATTAGCATCTTTTTCTCCACTGCACATTTCATCTGTAAACTAAGATTAAATACCTAGAGGAGAAAGCCACAGGAACAGGGAACTTTAATATTTTTCACTGCCGAGTTCACACGAATGAACAAACAGCTCAGATCTGAAGTCAGAGGTCGGAGGTGGCTTGTGGAAAGAGCTTTCCGCGTGTGCCAGTTCAAGGGACCTGACTTGGAAAAGTTTCCCTCCCGCTTTGACAGGCAAGACACCTTCAACCTCTTGCACGCCAGATGGTTGGTGTCTCTGCCCTGGAAGGAAACACCTACCATCCCTGCCAAAGGGAGACAAGGAGGGAGGGTGTGGAAACACCATATGGTGAAATACAAGGTGAAATAAATCAGGAAGAAGCAGAGTTGGGCTGATGAATCAGACCATTGGTCTGCCTGCTCTTGAGTGCCAACAACTTCAGAGGAAGTCGGGACTGCTCCATAAAGTGCCTTTAGTACACAACTGTGGTACTCAGGAAAGGGTCAGGGCATCCTGACTGCTGAGGGACAGCCACTTATGCCCTGAAGCCTGTGACTTGATTGACCTTATCCTGGCATGAAAATCTACTAATATTCATGAAATTATCCAGCCTATTTAAAAATCCAGATGCCCCACCCGGACCGCTATGTATCATGCAAGGAAATGCTCAGACGTGCCCAGGGCCCTCGTTCGGAGCTCCTGGACTTGTGCACATTGTGCCCTATCTGGCTGAGGTGTGAACTCTACTCCATTTTCCGGGATGTTTGAGACATGGTGGTCACCTTACGGTTCTAGGCGCCTCCCATGAAGTAACTGAGAGCCATCAGCTGTAGAGCTTGTCTAAAGGACTGCATTGACTAAGCTAGTTATTATGGTGCCCCACAATCCATCCATCCGCCCCTACTATACCACCCACCACGGCCCCTATTTATTTTGATTTCATCATGGAAACATAGGTGGCGCTAGAGCTCCTGGAGGCTCAGCCCCCGCCCCTCGCAATCTACCAGCTCACCGTCTTTTCTCCGGTTTTGGCTGTGCCACCCCACGCGCATGCCCAGCTTGGCGGGCGAAGTTCCACATCCAGTGGCACAAGGGCCAGAAAGGGAGCAGGGCGGGGCAACACAGGGGGCAGGATCCTGCCTGCACGCAAAGGTGTCCATCAAGTGATGCTGTGGCGGGCTCCTCCAAAGTCTGCAAGGAGCAAGAGCTGACGGGCCAGGGTGAGGAGCCGGGCCCAGGCCAGCAGGAAAGCAGCTGCCATGATGGGATGAGTGTGAGGCGGGTCACTCTCCAAGCACACCCTGCCTGGGGATTAATAGCACAGTAGCTGTTCAGTTTCACTCAGCTTCCCCAAAGAACATTGTCACCCACTGCCTACACACATAAATATCAGAGGATGTCAACCCCCGGTCATGGCGCCCAGATGCATTATAAAAATACCACTATGTGGAGGCTAAACCAGTGGTAGCAAACCAACTAGTCCTTTCTCTGCACAAAAGCAGCCGGTCAGCATGAATGTCCCTTGGCTGACCTCCTGCAAAACCCACCATCACCACCACCAAAAGGTGCCAAGTCGGTCAATGCCATAGGGTCACCAGCCGCTCCTCATTCGTGGAAAGAGTCACCCCGCCCCCACAAGCATAATGGGATTTGCAGAGGAGTCACCGCAGCGGAAGTCAGTGCTGAGTAGCTGGTGCCACAGTGTCTTATCCAGCCATAAGCGTCTCCTGCCTCGTCACTGGTCTTGCACATAGGCTGGTCATGCTTGTTCTATCTGCATGGAAAATCTGGCGTGTTTTTACCACCGTTGCAGGAGGGAGAATAATTTATGCCCCAGCCACACTGGCAATGAAAGGGTGTGAGCTGAAACCATTTCAGAGATCTGGGTCTGCATCTAATTTTTTAAAAAATAACAGTTTCTCAGAATTCACGGGTCTGTGGAAACCCCAAGCACCCTCGTCTGCAAATCTCCTAGCTGCAATAACCTTCAAACAAAAGAAAATGAGCATATTGTACAAGCAAAAACCACTCTCTTAAAGGTTCGGTTCAAGAGTGTGTTTTAGCAGCCGTCACACTGACCCAGTGCAGAGTGCTTGGATTAAGAACCTAGGCAGGTGGCATTGAAGGGATAATGATGTTATCTATAAGACATATCTTATCTATGAGACACAGGAAGTCTGACTTAGGACCTTTCCCTGAGATATCTTCAAAAGAACACCGACAAAAATAAACTCCTGTGTGAGAGCTGTGATTATTCCCAAACAGATTCTGTTGGAACGACCCAACTTTCCAAGCAGGCAAGATGATTTGGGGCAAATCAGGGGTACTTCAGAACTAGCAGAGAGCGTATCTCAGCAGGGTTTGGGGTTCAGCCTTCGGGAGTTCCTCTGGGCCATCTGGAACTTGTGAATCAGCAACAAGCAGCCCGGGATGAGTTTCCCTAGCTGCATTTCACCATGTCTAGTCCTGCCTGGAGCCCCAGAATTGACTAAGTGGTGGAAACTCTCCAAAAAGGAACTGATCTGGGCATTCCTGTGTGTCTTGACTTCTAAAAATAAGCAAAACCTGGGACACGGGATGATGTGTATTGTTTAGAACTGGTTTGCCCATTACTCCTCTGCACACAATGGGGAAGCAGGGTGGGGGGGGGGGAAAGGGGGTGAGGCCAGATGAATGCCTTGCATATACATAGGCTTGGCAGAATTTAATTTGAATTATTTTGCCATTTTGATGATTAATATTTATTTTTATTTTAAATTCCCTCCTCATTTTTAACTGTTTTAATTCTTACAGTTGCAGGAAATTAACAGGGGAGGAGTTAGGGTTGGGGTGAGGCCCGTGCTGACAGTGGGTTTGCAGGGGGCTTCCTGCGTGTCCGAGGGGCCCAAGACACCTGGGCACAAGATTCAGGGAAGGCTGTGGTTCTGATTGAGCAGAGCAAAGACTCCTGGCCAGGGATGAAAGAAGGAGTATGAGTCCCTGGCTGTGGGGCTGCAAAGGGCTCCACACCCGATCCCTGCAAGCACAAGGTCTAGGGGGGTGGGCGGGGAGGAACGAGGCTGCACTACGCCCCGACCATTACGGGTGGATATTTCTTTTGTCGATTTCAGTAGGTCAGCAGAAATTGACATTTGTCGACATCTATCAATTGAAATCAAATCCTGCCAAGCCTACACATAAATATTTTGCTACCTCCAGCCTCTTCCAAGCACAGGAAAAGCTAGGATTTTTGTCACCATTCAACAACAGGACCCGGACATCGGTGCTTCCAGGAATAAGGATGTAGGACCTTCCATGGGAGAAAGGAGAGATCTCCCAGAGAGAGTTCCCTTCCCCATGCGATCCCAGCGGGCAAGCCCATTGTTAACTCTTCTGCACATCGTCGGTGGGGGGGAGGGGGGAGAGGGGATGTTGTTGCCCATGTAAAGACTGAGAAAGAACTGAATAAGATGCGAAGGACTGAGACCATAGTTACTGAAAAATGCTCCTAACTATTCCACTGAAACGAGGCGGTCAATATTACTTAGTTCTGAAGTAGACCACAAAGCACACTGTAGAGAAGGGTCAGTAGCATTATCATTATTTTATAGATGGAAGAACTGAGAAGAATTAAGTTGTCTAAGATCACACAGCAGGGAATAGATCCCAAGTTTTGCAGCATTCTATTCTATTCCGAAGTTCTTAAACTGCACTTACTGATAACCATTGAACTTCTCTGCTTCCTCTATATAACATTTCAGGAAACTAGCACATACTTTCTATAACTTTATGACTCATTTTAAAATAAATCTCTCCTTCCCGTACCTGCCTGGACCTGAGTGCAGGACCTCACCTTTCTGTGTTTTCTCAGACCATCACTCACCTCTCAAACAGCACAATGGACTGAATCTCACATGCTGCACTGGGAGTTGGGGATGCTGAAAGGGAAAACCAGAGTTTCTGAGCTGTGGTCCTGGAGGGTTAACGCAAGCCTCTCTGTACACTTTTAGAATATATTTATTTGTCATTTTTGGGTCGACATTTGTATTGTGCTGAGCTGGTACCTCAAATGCTCTAGTTTAAAATTACCTAGTCAATCCTTGGTTTAAAAATAAACATCAGGTCACCTTTAACAAAATAAACACAGGATTTTCCATTCCGGATTATATACTGTATTTACCCATGTACCTGGTATGGCTTTATTTTTTGTGCGCTACACCTTTAAATCACTAAGGACTCTGTCTGCAGAGACAGACAGCTATTTGTGTTCAGTTCAGTGCAGACTGCTGCAGAGGGGACACACGCACTGTGCTCTCTCTCTGACCATTTACTTTTGTTCTTTTTGAGGCATCTGAACTAGGCAGGTTGCTGGTTGAGTGTTGGGACAACAAAAAGGGTTAGATATCCAAAAACACAAAGGACCATTAGGGGCCTGATCCACACTGAAAGTCAACGGGAATTGAGTGCCTCATTCCCATTTGTGGGAAATATTTTCCCCGAAGTCTTTGGTTGCTGAATGGAAAAAAACCCAAACAAACAACACATTGGACCATTGGTCCCTCCATTGGGACGGTAGCTAACAGAGATGCTTTAGGAGATGGAGTAATGCCACCGCATAACCCATCCTGCATCAGGTAACTAGAGCCCTCCTTTCTTCTTTCTCATGTTGGCCTCTAAATCTCCTATAGAAAGCGAGGGGTTTCCATTGCATTTCCAAGGAGCAAAGGAAGATGCACTGGGAATGCTGATCGACCGGCAGGTGCTATCTGCCTTTCAAAGGACGTTGCATGCCATTGTTTTAATCAATAATGTATTATTTCCTCCATGTTTTATATCCTCCTGTTTATGATGTGTACATAGGGATTTCCCGTGATCTGAATGTGTTCATTAAATGTAGCTGACACACGGCATGTGAAAGCTGCTGCCTGGCTCTGCAGTCCCTTTGGGAAATGGAACTGCTGCTTCCGTCACAAAGACATTTTCACGAGCAAATGTGGAAAGAGAAAGGAAAGGAAAAAAAGCACACAATGGCGCAGAGGTCAAAGCGGGACTCCATGCACAGAAAACAGGGGGCGCCCTAATGCTAGGATCTCGTGGATATCATTGTGAAGGGAATATTAAATATTGTTATAACCTTACATGGAGACGCTGCTCACACAGAACAGAGGAAAGAGCTCTTCCCCCTTCTTTGAAAGGCATTCATGGACCTCTCTGAGGCTCTCTCTGCTTTATCTCTGAGACAGGGCGGTGTAACAAGAACTCCCATCCTTTGCAGTTAAAAAGCCTTTTGTCCCGTTCCTGTCTATTTGAGGAGATGGAAATCGAGGTCTTGACCCACTGTGGCCATGAAATATCTCATGGCACTGTTCACAGGAGGAATAATAACGATGCTACTTCACCCTTCTATCCTCATCCCCACTCGGGGTTACTGAGGTATAGAGCAGTGACGTGCCCTGGTTAAGACAGTGGAGGATCTAGGAACAGAACACAGAGCTCTCAGTCCCTGTAAACTTAGGGTCTGTCTACATTGCTGTCACAGGGCGTGACTGCAGCTTGTGTAGACACACCCAAGCTAGCTTTAATCTAGCTATCTTGGGTCCATGGCAGGGAAGCCCCGGTAGCACGGGCTTCAGTGTGGGCTGTTCAAGCCTGCCCAGAGCCCTCGGTTATTACTTGGGCAGCTAGCCCATGCCGAAGTCTGTGCTGCTGTGAGTTCACTGCTCTGGTACCTAAGCGAGCTAGATTGAAGCTAGCTGGGGTACATCCACACAAACTGCAGTCATGCCCTGTGATTGCAGCACAGCCATTCCCTAGGGGGTTTACACTGCCACGTATCGCTAGAGTATCTAAGGCTACGTCTACCCTTGGAGCTGGGGGTGTGATTGCCAGCTTGAGGAGACATATCTGTGCTCGCGCTCCTCGAGCCAGCATGCTAGAAATAACAGCGTAGCTGCAGTAGCTAGATGTCCTGAGTACAAATCCGCCCGGGGCCCACGGATGGGTGTGTGGGGCGGCTAGCCCATAATGCCGCTCCCTGCTGCCGGTGCTACCCTGGCACTGCTCTGATTTTTACCATGCTACCTCTGAGACGTGAGCTTTTCTCCTCTCTCTGCCATTGACTCTTTCTACATCAGTGGGCAAGTAACCTCACTTCTCCACGCCTCTCTGGAAAAACACTCTTCATCTCCTCTCAAAGAGGCCTAGACATTCCATTCCAAGTGCTTGTCAAACACTTTGAAATGATATCAACACACAAGGGATTGTTATTCCTCGCCTCCCCTTAGCTGTTGTGTGGCGTTATTGTGCTGCGTCAAACAGCTGTTGCGTTCCAGCTCGGAGCTGCCTGCTCCTCGGCCATGAATTGAGTCCTCAAACAGAAATGGATAAATATCTCAATAAATAAAGCAGATAGACAGCTGCATCAGCCTAATCAGTTGCGTAATGTCTGGGAAACGCTTGGAAGTCCTTCTGTAGTAAAGGCACCATGTTAATGTAAATGGTGATGATAATCATTAAATGCCTTCTGCATCTTTGAAACCTACTGATGGAACATTATACAAGTTGGGCATCTGGTTTTCAGCCTTTATAGGCTGAAAAAAAAATCAGGAAGGTGTATTTTTGGCAAATAAATGTGATCCCATAAAGCCTGGCCTGATTCCAACTTGCCTAATAGCATTTCTCCTCTCCAAACTCCCTGTCACTTCAAGTGCACAATCCCTCTCCTCAGCGCCCTGTGGCACAGTGGGTTTCTCTTCGCTATCGCCCATATGGGTGCATGGATAACTCAGGGAGGCAGCATGGCCTAGAAGGCAGGATGCTGAACTGGGAGTCAGAAGAGCTTGGTTCCATCAGCCCCGTTGCACAGAGGAGGAAAAGCGAACCAGGGGGATATGACTTGTTCAGGGTCACCAAGTGCATCAGGCCTGGTCTCCAGATAGGTGAAAAATTCACACCCCTGGGAGCCACACCATAGCTAGGCTGACCTCACCCCGGTGTAGATGCGGATAGGTAAATGGAAGAATTCTTCTGCCATCAACTGCTACAGCCGCTCGGGGAGGTGGATTAACTACGTCAATGGAAAACCCTCCTTCCCCGTGGTGGGAAGCGTCTACCCTACGGCCCTGTAGCTGTAGTGCCTGGAGCATAGTCATGGCCTCAGTGGCAGAAGACTAGAACCCTGGTGTCCTGATTCCCAGAGCTCTGTTCTAAGCACCAGAGCTTCAGATGTACTGTGCCTCCCAGGAATTGCAGCTCATGCTGGGGAGGGCAGGTTCTGAGTTCTGCTCCTTGTCCCTGGAGCAACTTACACCAATCCCTGGGACTGCTCCAGGTTACATGCGCTGTGCATGCCCCTCGGGGACTGCTCTGGGGCCCAGCATAGCTGCAGTGTGCTGTGCTCTGGCCACACCAGAACTGCCCAACAGCCCAGGTCAGCCCTGTGCTAGGGCCTGCACCCATGGGTGGAATTAGTCACCTGTGGCCCTCCCTCCACCGCTGACTTCACAGCGTGCAGGGCTGGGGAACGTAGCACCAATGGGAGCAGCCGGCACAAGCCACTGAATCAAAAATATTGGTGCTCCTTTATCTATCTGAAGGGGGCACCATCTAGGAGATGCTAATTTAACATATCTCTGCCCTCCGAATGGCTTTTCCTTTTCACTAAATTGAAGGCACAGCACAATATATGTGGCTGATTAGGCTGTGTAATACAGTCCCTGCAAATTTAGATTAGGCATAATTATAACTTAAATAAAATAGTCTGAACACAGTTCTTATAGCCATCTATCTTTCCTCCCCTTCGTACTGCAAGATGGAAAATGAGTGGGAGGAACAGAGGGCTTTGTCAGCAGAACCAGTCTGGAGGAAGACCATAGGCATGAGGCTTTCCCTTGCCCACTGCAGGACACAGACCCATTGAAATTCAGGGCGGGAAGGGACTCAAGAGGTCATCTAGTCCAGCCCCCTGCACTGAGGCAGGACCAAGTAAACCTAGACCAGCCATGACAGGTGTTTGCCCAACGTGTTCTTAAAATCTCCAGTGACAGGGATTCCACAACCTCCCTGAGTAACCTATTCCAGTGCTTAACTATCCTTATAGTTAGAAAGTTCTTCCTAATATCTAACCAAAACCTCCCTTGCTGCAGACTAAGCCGGATATGTCTTGTCCTACCTTCAGTGGCCATGAAGAACAACTGATCATCAGTCTCTTTCAGACAGCCCTTAACGTATTTGAAGTCTGTTATCAGGTTCGCCCCTCAGTCTCTCTCCAATTTACCCACATCTTTCCTAACGTGTGGCACCCAGAACTGGACCCAGTGCTCCAGCTGAGGCCTCGCCCGTGCCGAGTAGAGTGGGACAATCATCTCCCATGTCTTATATACTACACTCGTCTCAATACACATCAGAATTACATTTGCCTTTTTTGCCCCTGCACCACACTTTTGGTTCATATTCAATTTGTGATGCACTGTAGCCCTGAGATACTTTCCCGCAGTATTACCACCTCCCCAGTTATTCCCAAATTTGTAGTTGTACATTTGATTTTTCCTTCCTAAGTGTAGTACTTTGCACTTGTCTGTACTGAATTTCATCTTGTTGATTTCATAACAATTCTGCAATTTTTCAAGGTCATTCTAATCCTGTCCTCCAAGGTGCTTGCAACCCCTCCCAGCTTGGTGTCATCTGAAAATTTTATAAGCATACTCTCTGCTCCATTAGCCAAGTCATTAATGAAAATATCAAATGGACTGGGACTCAGGACTGACCCTTGCGGTATCCCATTACATATGACCACCCAGTTTGACAGTGAGCCATTAGTAATTACTCTTTGAGTATGGATTTTCAACCATTTTGGGACCCCATCTTACAGTTCATCATGAACAACTTCCATTAGGAGAACAGTGCCCCTGTAATGCTGGGATGGAATTGTACATGGAAT